TATGAGAAGTTATCATTAGTGTCTGTATAGTATGCTATTCAAGTATTTATCCTTAATCTACATTATTTCATATGTTGTAAGTATCAAGTGCGAATACAAGGGAAGTAATGTGTTCAAAAAAATGACATTTCCAAAGAAAATAAATATACAACCACCACTTTTTCTAAAAACTATAACAATAATGAATTTTTTTAAATTTTTTTTGTAATATGAATGTACTTTAATATTTTAATAATAATAAATTGATTTAAAAAAAAAAAATTAAAATATAACTCAAAGGGATAAGATACTCTTTGATTGGAACTCACGAGTATGGGATCAATTAATCTGTCAAGAACTCTGTCAAAATCTTACTGTTTAAAATTCATAATATATATATATTTACTCATTTCCAGTATTCACGTTTGAATTTCTTTTTATAAAACTAACTTAATTAATTGTGCTAAAAAGAATACAACAGTTAAAAATCAACCAGTTCCATAATAGTATCATGATATCATATTGTATTACCATTAACTAGGATTTTTTGATATGATAATGTTAATAAATAAACATTATTTATTATATAACAATTTTATTAAAAGAAAAAAAGGTTTTCTAACTTATAACAATTGTTTTAAGTGTTAATTATATTACTAGCAATAATAATAGTAATATTACTAGTTACCTAATAGTATTTTATAAGTATTCATTCTTACTAGTAAAAATTAAATTATGAGATTTTTTTGTACAAATTGAAATAAATAATAGTATACTGTTTATCATGAAAAGTAATTAATCAAAAGAAAATATTGAAAATTAATTTATAAATTGGATCAAAATCAAATATCATTTAGAAGGTAATAAAAAAACAATAATATTTTAAGTATGAACTATTCATTTATTACCCTATTAATAATGGAATGATCAGTTCATATGGGCATATCTTTTTATTAAGGCACTCCAACCCGCAATAAATCTTTTTATTGCTCTATGATTTCTATAATAATTATTTAGTGGAAAATTACTGTAAATGCTATCTATTTAGATTCTAAAGTTACTAATATTTCAATTTCCAAATTTTCCATCGACTCAGACTACCTACAGTGCCGCAATAACCGGGTGTGTTGCGTGTGTTAAACACACGGGCCCAGGGCCCCAACCTATAATGGAGGGCCCAATGATAAAAATTGAAAAATATGTAGAAAGAAAGAAAATAAAACGATTTTGTTATAATAATAATATAATAATAATTAATAATGATTGGACAATAGATCGATTTTGTCTTGTACACAACGTTATCGTATATTAACGTTTCTTTTGCGACCCGTATAACATAAATTAAAAATAGTTTGGTTGCAATTGATTAAAGCGCGTCATGCGAAGGAACGCGTATTTTGACCGGCCTATATAGCCATATAGTATGAGTGTGTGACGCATCTCAATTAGGTATTGTTATTTATTTTTGTTATGTGCCACGCGGGAAAACCGCGATCGGGCTCGCTTTTATATTGCACGACGACGACGCTCGTTGAAAATGCGGGATCTTCGACAGTCTATGTTTTATATTCGGTCAATTGACAATAAGCTATCCATTTATTTAATTTTATTTACGTCTACAATAAATCATGCCGCCAAAAGCTTTAAGTGGAGCAGCTAAAAGAAAAAAAAAACACCAATTACAGTGTAATATTTTAAAAACCAATCAGAAGATAAATAATTTTTTTGAAAGCAGTCAACATAACAATGGTAAGTACAAAATTATTTCATGAATAAATATTGTTGACTAACAAGATGTTAAAATGTTAAATTATTTAATAGATATATATATATATTATAGATGATTGAAATTTTGTTATTTAATCTAGGTATTTATTAACAACTTGACTGCAATATTCATAATTCATACCTATATCATGGTCCGTGAGACTCTTTTTTTGACCTACTTAATTTAAATAAAAGGGTTAAAATTGAAATTAGATGGAAAAAAACTCAATAACTTCAAATGTATTTATATTACTCGATATACTATTATTGTAGGTACCTAAAATTAATTTTGGTTTAATAGTTGTAGAATGTGATGTGGAACTTGAAAGTGTTGGACAAATATCTAAAAATGATTTGAAGAATATTTTAGACTCAAAAGAAAATGGACAAGACACAACTAATACGTACACTGAAAATAATAACTCTTCTGATGTTAGCACTTCTACAGGTATACACTAGCTCAAATTTATACATATGTTAATAATATTTCAGTATTGTAAAATATTTTTTAATACCTATGTTTGTGATTTTAAGAATCTATTCAAATTCTATAATTACATTACACTTAATATAATTAAATTAATTTTGTTTTTATAGTTGTGGAATATGATGTGGGACTTGAAAGTGTTGGACAAATATCAGAAAATGAATTTAAAAGTATTTTAAACTCAAAAGAAGATGGACAAGACACAAATAATACATACACTGAAAATAATAACTCTTCTGATATTAGCACTTCTACAGGTATACACTAGCTCAAATACGTACATATGTTAATAATATTTTAATGTTGTTAAATTTTTTTTAATACCTAATATTTTTGATTTAAAAATTTCTATTTTATTCTATACTATTAATTATTATTATGTATATACTTTAATAATTTGATTTTGATTTTTTTCTATTATTACAAATGTATTACTTTTATATTATGCTATATTATAATAAATATTTTAAAACTTATAGATTTGAATAGTATGCTGAATCTCCAAGATGATTTCCCAACAGACATAGCCAAATTTCCATGGACTATTACTGATGCAAATTTAATAAGAAGTTTGATTTTATATGGACCCTGTAAGCCAGATATTAACTTTCCAGTAAATAATAATGGTAAACGTTTTTCATCTAGTTATTATTTTCTAACAACTAAATCTGGTACAAAAATTCCAAGAACCTGGCTATGTTATTCTTATAACTTAGACTGTGTGTATTGTGAATCATGTTGGCTGTTTGCTGATAGATCTTATGGCAAATTTAAGTGGGATTGGATTTATGGTATTAATGATTGGAATCACTTGTCACAAAGTATTCAAAGACATGAATCATCTATTCAACATTTGGATGCTGCCAAAATTCGTTCCATTTGGGTTAAAAATGAAACCATTGACGCTAGTTTAGAAAAACAATATACTGATGAAGCAGTGAAATGGAGGAATGTATTGAAAAGGTTGATAAAAATTATACTTTCTATAACAGCAGGAAATTGTGCTTTAAGAGGGAATGAAGGAAGCCTAAAAATTAAATGTGCCACCGAAGGAAACTTTTTAAGAACAGTTCGATTACTCGCAGAGTTTGATCCTATTCTAAATGATATTTTAAATGATGAAAATCAAAAAATTAAGTATTTAAGTTGGTCTATTCAGAACGAGTTGTTAGACATTTTGTCTACAGAGTTACGTCATTTAATTTGTAATAAAATAAGATCTAGTAGTTTCTTTTCTGTTATATTAGACTCCACTCAAGACATAACCAAACAAGACCAAGTTAGTCTTGTAATTCGTTATACTACATTAGATTTTGAAAAGAAACAAATACAAATCAAAGAGTCGTTTCTCGGTTTTTATTCACTATCCCATCATGGTGCAGCAAATTATGTAGAACTTTTAAAAAATACATTAATGAGATTGGATTTAAATATTATGAAATGTCGCGGTCAAGGATATGACGGAGCAGCAGTGATGAGTGGTTCAATAACAGGCGTTCAAAAACAAATTTGTGATATTGTACCTAACGCTATATTTGTTCATTGCTGTTCTCACAATATAAATTTGGTTTTATGTGATGCTGCTAAAAGTACTAGAAAAATACAATTATTTTTTGATACTGTGCAAGACATCTACAATTTTTTTAGCTCAAGTTCGCCAAGATGGGCTCAGCTAGCCTTTGGTGAAGAGTACGGGAATAAAATAAATAAAATAACTTTAAAAAAAGTGTGTCCTACTCGATGGAAAGCAAGACACAATGCTTTATTTTCATTAAAACACAGATTTGTTGATGTTTTGAAATCTCTTTCTAATATCCAGCTTTCAAGTTCCAAAAAAGATGAAATAAATATGGCTACAACTTTAAAAAAAAAAATGGAAAATGCTGAATTTATAATTATTCTATGTATATGGGAACCTATTTTAAAATCCTTACAAGTGGTATCAAAGAGTATGCA